GGTTCCTTTACAAGAAAGTTTGAAATCAACTCTGAATGTTTCCTTTATTCTGAAATCTACTCTGGTTCCTTTAGAAGAAAGTTTGAAATCAATTCTGACTGTTTCCTCTAGTCTGAAATCAACTTTGTTTCCTTTAGAAGAAAGTTTGAAATCAACTCTGGTTCCCTTAGAAGAAAGTTTGAAATCAACTCTGACTGTTTCCTTTAGTCTGAAATCAACTCTGGTTCCTTTAGAAGAAAGTTTGAAATCAATTCTGACTGTTTCCTTTAGTCTGAAATCAACTCTGGTTCCTTTAGAAGAAAGTTTGAAATCAACTCTGTTTCCTTTAGAAGAAAGTGTAAAATCAACTCTGAAAGTTTCCTTTAAAAGAAAGTCTCAGATAAATTCTGTTTCCTATAGAAGAAAGTTTGAAATCAACTCTGGTTCCTTTAGAAGTGTCAGGATTTGTGGTCGGAGCGAACCCAGTGTGCAGAACAGGGACTCAACTCGGCAAAAATACAAAAATAGGATTTTAATGATAAATAAAAGTACAAAATAAATAGGCTGACGGGGCAGCAAAACTTACATGAACATAGGAAGGAGGCACGGGGAACTCAGGAGACACGAGAGACACGGAGAACTCGAGGAACCAAGAAGACTCAGGGAAAGACTCAGGAGACCCATCAAAAAATACCCAATGAAGACGACCCGACGAAGAACAAGACAGAACAGACGACTTAAATACAGGGACAAGACGAGACGTGATAACAAACAGCTGGGACGAGACACAGGTGGCACTAATAGAACTAATGAGGGAGCACAAGGGAAACAGACACAAACCGGGCCACAGAAAAGTACCATCCTTACAGTACCCCCCCCCCCCCCAGGACGCCTCAAGGCGTCCCCCAAAAAAAACCCACTCCCAAAGGACTAGGGTGGGTGGAGGGCGGCACTGTAAGGGTGGAGGGCCTGAGGAAAACACGAGGACCAGAGGAAGGGACACGAGGAACCAGAGAAAGGGACACGAGGAACCAGAGAAAGGGACACG